GATTTTGTACAATTTTAATGAGCTTTAATTGGTAAGACCAACTTTATTATTTAAAGCTTGAACTCTCTTAGGCAAAGCCTTCTTGTCTTTTCTCTAAACAGTCTTCAAGAATACTTCTCCAGGTTTCCTGAAGGATATTTAAAGCTCTTCTTTTGGATGTTGGCTGATTTTGTTCAATTCTCTGAAAAGATGATGCCACACTGCCTCAATAATGTTGAGGTTCTGGCTCTGGGGAGGTTAATCCATGACAGTGTTCTATTGTGAGTTTTTCTATCCAAGTATGCTTGTACAGCACTGGCAGTGTGCTTGTGATCCATGTTATGCTGAAAAATTAAGTCCTGGCCAATCAGACAGATCAGACTCACTCACTTTTGCACCTCTCTCCTGACCTCCTCCATACAGACTGACAATGGCTACAACTTAAAAAAATTCAAATCTGAATTCATCACCCAATAAGACTTTTTTGGTAATGATTTCAGTCCAGTTGGCATGCCTCAACTTTTATCTCTATTCCCCTACCATTTCTTATGAGGCTTTGAATAACAGTATGTGGACTCCTTGTTAAGTAATGTCGACACAAAACCGGTTCATTCTTTGAATTACATACATTTTTTACTTTACTTATTCATGGCTCAGTCTCAAGGTGCTGAACAAACATAAAAACATTCAGCTGAAAATGTCACTTTTACTGGATGCGGTGTGGTGGTAGAAAGGCCTTTTGCACACTACTTTAGTTAATATATGTAACAATGTGCTTTGAGTTAGTAGAAGAAAACTTTTAAATCTGAGAAAAATCATATGTACCAGGGTCTGTGGCAGAGACAATGGCCCCAAAAAACAGGCAATCCGTGAAGAAAAAGTCTCCATTCAGCTGGCCCACCTGCTTCATTAGCGTCACACAGCCATACATCAGCAACCTGATGGAAGAAAAGGAAGAGCAGGTGGTTTTGTCCATCATCATAAACAACAATAACTTTAAATGTGCATAGTTGCACAAGGGTTGTAAAATCACAAGGACGAATGGCTTTCATGTTTTTGCTTTTTTTTTTTAATAATAAAATATTTTTTGTAATAATTGCAAATTAAGTCTCTTACCCAATAATAAAACAGGAAATGACTGTCCCGAGAAAGGCGTAAGCCAGGATGGATCCCATGTTCCGAAAAAAATGTCTCTGAAAGACAGAAGAGTTACCAGATCAGCAATCAAATGCATAAATACTATAAAATTAATTATTCATCTTGATGAATACGTAAACCCCTGCGGTCTATAAAGAGACCACAAATGGACATGAAGTTATTTAATTAAGAGCCAAATACATACTGAAAATATGTATTTAATAAATGTTGACTTTTTATATGATATACTGTACCCTTTTTAAGCTGTAGCCAGCATGGAAGATGATAGGTGGTAGAAGAATATTGAAGAACACTTCAGGGTCAAAGGTCACCTGAGTTATACAAAACACAGAACAAAATTACAGATCTGCATCAAAAGAAAATTAACAAGTTGTTTTCATTAATATTTCTTTCTATGCTGTTGCATTTTTGGATTGACTAAAATATCAGTTAATCAAAAATGACCCATATGGGGCATCATGACACAGCTTCCAGGACAATAAACAAAAAAACTACTATAATAGTAAAATGGCATGTTACAGAACGAGGACAGCTTCTAGCCACATACATATACACACACTAAGGCTAATGCCATTTTTAGATGCTAAATCTAGAGCAGTGCTACATTAAAATCAGTATGTGGATTCAATCTCTGACAATGGATTAGATGTATTCATGTTTGGAAAACAATCCTCAATTTCTGAGCATGAGATTATGACTTAAATAGATTAAACCTGTTCAGCAGATTGTTTACTTGTTTGGTGGTTAGAATAGCGTCAAGAATACTGCTTGTATGTAATTGTGCAGCTGTTTAACTGACAAAGTACAAAGTGACAAACACACCCCAGCACATGACAACCGTAAAACAAGTACTTTTATGGTTTCTTTTACATTCTGTATCACTAATAAAGGCATTCTGCCAGTTATTTTAACAGAACATTTCAGGCCCTGTTTAATAGTCTTCAAACTGATTTGATCTAGATGTAGAGCTATTGTTTTAAAATTGAAATAGCTACTTAATATTGATAATAAAGAATTTGTATTACATAAAGAGAAATACAAATCATTCAGCTTACAAAAAACTAAAACCACCATTTAATCCCATTACAAATTAACCTATGATTTCTCTCTTGCATTGGTTAGTTATGTTTTATTTAAAATATCAGAAGGGTAGCTGGTTTTGATCATCGGTGCTTGCAGATTTAAACATCTGCTATCATTTCAGTGTAAAATAACTGATAATTATGTCTTTGCTGATGATTAAATCATCTGATTGCTCCAGCTCAGGGGTGGGCAATGAAGCTTCTCAAGGGGATACAGGAGAAACTGGGACTCTTGTGGAGGGCTGTACCAATAACTTATACACAGATAAAATTAATACTGAGTTCAATTTACTGGCACCGTCCTCCACAACAGTCCCAGTTTTACATAGTCCCTTAGGAAAATAATTACCCATCTCTGTAACACAACTGCTTGTATGTAGACATCAAATTCAAATAATAACACGACACAGTATACCTTGCGCAGCATCTCATTATCCTTCATGTCGTTGCCACTGATCTCCCCTTTCAATGTGTACTCGTAGAACTTGCCGCTTACATTGACCAGCAGAGTGGCAGGGCTGGCATTGACCTGGCAATTCAAGGTGATGTTGCCAACATCCAGAGGAACATGAATGATGCCATAACGCAAAATCACTCCAACAATTAAGCCTGGGGAAAAATTCATAAAAACGAAAGACAAAAAAAAAAAAAAAAAAAAAAAACAGGAGAGAGAGAAGAGTTGATTAATACAGGATTTTTAACAGTTTATGGCACGTCGCCACAGAAACGGATGGCGAGTGTAGTTTCAGGCTACCTGATACTACAGATGGTATTAAATGTTTCAGTGGGATTCATTTGTACAAAAAAATATTTTTAAACAAAGGTCTACTCTGAACATCACACACGTACCTAACAGCTCTGGATCTCAAATTAAAGTCTTAACACATCCATGTGAAAATAAATTACCCTATCAGATACTGTACCAGCAAATTAGAATTTCAATTAGTTTAGATTAGATTAGGCCATATTGTCTCCAGTGGGAGAAATTTGTCTTGGACAACCGAGGGGAATATGTCACACAAAATAACACAAAAATCACAACATGTCTGGTATCCTGTACCTTTTTTCCAGAGGACTCATATTCTTTATAAAAGATGGGATTTATATCTGTAGTGATTTTCCGTCCCTTCTTTATCACAGACTCTTTAAATATCTCATGGAGAGAAAATGGAGGCAGGATGACAATCATCTTTCCAGCTATTTTGATCAAATTTTGGATTTGTGATCTGATCTTGACCTAAAATGCTCAGATCAAACATCTGTTACTATTGGTAGTAATGCATGGTTTGGTAACCATGTAGTAGACAGTAATGTCACAGCAAAAATAATAGCATAATGTTACTATCCGCCCTATGGAGCCTTCATAAAAACTAAAAATGAGTAATTTGTGAATGTCTAGACTCTAAAAGCTCTGCACAGCCAAGCAGAAGTTATTAATTATCTGTTAGATGTGAAGCAGCTGGGTTGTGAGGCAAAATGTAAATGATTCTACGGTGACACGACCACTTCCTCTTCTACAGGTTGGAAGATTTCTAACAATACTCCTGAAATTCAATATACAGAAGTGGAAGCAAAGTCCAGTTACACACTCATGATTGGCATTTGTCCAAATAATCACTTGTGACTTGCACGAAAAAGCAAAAGCAAAAACAAGTTATTTAAGAACTAAAATTCAGTAGGATTCATAAGACAGTATTTGTCGAAACTGCTTAGGTGCTGAGATGTAATTTCTAAGATTAAGCAGTGTAAAAGAGGCGTCCACTGTCGTTAAATTACGCTTGCTCAATCACAACATAAACCGGAACAGTCCTGCAGCATAAATGTGTTAAAAGGGGCGAACTTATCAAGCCTGGTGTTGACATTCGTCTGTTCGAAATCTAACTATTAGGACACAATGAGTGTAACAGCTCGGATGACGTCTCTCTGTCACGATGGACCATCTTACCATAAATCATTGCCAGCCCGGTTTCGTGGAGAAACCTGAACCGCCGATGTTTGAACAACCAGATGGTCAGGATGGTGAGGGTGAGGAGCAGGATAAAGATCAGCAGGTCAGCGCTGTCTTGTCTGTGGCTCTCCTCAGCCTTTTTCTCAGTAACGATGTTCTCCATGGCACTGTCTTCCTGAGGTGATGATGCTCGGCAAACACTGATGCAAACAGGCAGGCTTACTAGCGCGAGCAGCCACAGCGTCCTTGTTGCCCTCCGGGCACTGCTGACAGTCACTTTAAACACCATTTCGGCTTTCGGCGGCCAAATGCTGCAACGTCGCCGAAGGTAAAAAATAAACTTGTGCAAATATTATTCATAAACGAAGGGGAGTGGACAACAGAAAGACGACAGCAAAAGAGAAACCAATTCCGGCCCGGAAGGGAAAAGTAATTTTTCCAGAAAGTGTAATTTTATGTTTCAAATTAAAAGCACACCACCGTACCGTGGATGGCTAAAATCAACGCCAGTGGAAAAATTTAATACCGCAAAAAGAAAACCTTCTAGATAAATAAAAATGTCTATCTGGCAGTTTTCTTTGAAGTTTGCTTCTTATTAGCGCTGATAGTTTTCCCCGAAATCTTTTATTATGAAATATTTGACGATAGCGTGTTTACCGGGAAGTGAGTCCAACAGTCCTTTAGGCTATCGAGTTGTGTCGTATTAAAAAATAAATAAATAATAATAATAGTAAACCAAATATAATAACGAACTTAGCGTTTATTTTAGATTACGGTTTAATTACAGTTTAATTCTTAATAGAATAACTTTAAATAAAAAATAGCCGCATATTTCCTGTGGTATTTCCTCTTTCCTACTTCCTTCCTACTCTTTTACTGACAGACCATTTAGCGTAACGATACGAACATCAAATAATAATTTTAAATATTTATAGATACATTTAACTATATTGGATAAAGAATATTCGTTATTTTTTTGTTTTTTTAAAAGTACGATTGACAAGTCTCGTGATACAGATGGTCGCGTGGGACGTTCCAAATTATCGGAATTTTTATATTTTACTGTCGCGCTGAAAAACAAACTAACTAACTTTCACTGTTAGTCCTTATTTAATAACATGGCAGTACAAAAATATGCACACATATATATTATAATTACTTAATTATTAACTGAAATATGCCTATAATTTGTAATTTAATGCTCAGACATACGAGTTGTACAGCCAAGATTAAGAAAACACAAATTTCCGAGGAGGTATTGAAAGTGGCAAAGCCCTAAGCAACACTCTTGTTTTCGCTCGTGATTATGCTATCACTGTGTAGCTAAGAAGTCTCGTTTTTGTCAGTCAGAATCGTCATGTTTATGCGTGTTTAGCATTGAAATATATTTATACAGCTGCACCATCTAAACTTCTAAACGACGATGACATCTAAACTGAAAGGTACGTTAAAATCCTCTGCCCTTATCCTTATGCTAAAGATAACTAGCTGTTAGCCTCGTAGCCTCCACTTTTGCGAGGTAAGGAAACACTTTTCGTTGTCGGTTATTAAGATGAAGCTGATATAACTCAATGATAGTAACAATAATGGTGATGATGAAACAAAACATGTTGTCGGTGGCAAATTTTAACAACTGTGTTCGCAAATTAGCGTTTATCGTTCCTGTCTTTTGAACATTGTGTATAATCTCCTATAGTGTTATTGTTCCACAGTGTGGTAGACGTCATTAATGTAAGATGCACAAGTAACCTTAATTAGCTGTAATTATCTGTGTTTTACTTTTGATGTAAAGACATTCGTGATAGAATTTGAAAAGAGATTCAGAGTACATTTGGTTGGAACGTTGGTTATTTTTTCGTTCATTTATTCATTCATAGTATAATATAATAAACTAAATGTTATATTGAACTAATAATAACGTTTGTTGGTTTGCATATACGCACTGTGAGAAATAAAAATGGTTTGGCTATTTACATTTTTAGCTTATTACCTTATAATTTCCTTTTTTGTCAGCACTGAAATAAACTTTACTGTTGTAGGTACTTAAGATAGTAGTTAGTGTTTATATACGAGTGTTTGTACACTAGTGTGTATTTCTAGTGTTGCTGCCCAGTGAAAACCTCACACCATTAAAGACAATTTTCCACAAGTTTAAAAAAAAGCAAAACAAAGAACACTCAAAGTAAAATAATGCATATAAAATCACCAAACTTGGAGATTTCTTTCCACGGGAAGAACATGAAAGACTATAAAGTGATCAGTAATTAAAGCTGTCAAAAAATGTGGTGGAGTGTAGTTTTTGCCCCTGAGATATAATGTATGTAAGAGAAAATGCCCAGCTAAGGTACTGAAAATGCTTTAAATGGTCCACAGACGAGTCCGTCCAGCCAATGATTCAATTGAACTGACTTTCATTTGTATAGCGCCAAATCACAACAACAGTTGCCTCAAGGAGTTTTATATTGTAAGGTAAAGACCCTACAATAATACAGAGAAACCCACAGCAATCAAACGGAATGCTATGAGTAAGCATTCAGTGAGAAGACAAAGGAAAAACTCCTTTTTAACAGGAAGAAACCTCCAGCAGAATCAGGCTTCAGGAGTGGCGTCCATCTGACACTGTGAAAAAAAGACAGTGGAAGAGAGCCAGAGATTAAGATATTAGATACTATATTACTTCTTACTTCAAAATAGGAAAAATGAGTTCCATAATGTACTGTATATTTTAATGTTAAAGTAGAATGACAAACTTTGTAGTTTGTCAGCATATAGCAAGCAAGACATATTTTAACACTTTCATTATGGTGATGTGTTTTGATTTTAGTTGGGAAGGTCGGTTCCAAGAGTAAGGAGGATGCCCCTTATGAGCTGGAGAGCCAGTTTGTCCTCAGGCTTCCTTCGGTGAGACTTTTGCACTTGCAGAAATTCATTGTTTGATGGAAATTCAGTTTTATCACCACCAATATGATCTGGCTTCATTTTTCTTTCTTTTGCAGGAGTATGCCTCAACAGTAAGAAGGATTGCACAGTCTAGCAGTATGAACATGAAGGACAGACTCACCATTGAGTTGCACCGTAAGCTGCTCACAATCTTGGCACTGGTTTAATTAACGCTGTCTCCCTGTCTTGTTATTCATTTACAGTCGGGTCCAGAATTTTGAACGTTGTACATATTTCTATACCAGTTTCATTCTTTTTGTTATTTAAATGTAACAATGATTGTAGCATACTAATGGATCTAGTTAAAGAATTGTCACCCACATGTCCCCTTAACAGTCATTTGTCCCTCTTATTTGTAGCTGATGGCCGTCATGGCATAGTTAGAGTAGACCGTGTTCCTTTGGCCTGCAAACTGGTTGATCTCCCCTGCATGATTGAGTCACTCAAAACGGTGGACAAGAAGACGTTTTACAAGACCGCAGATGTCTGCCAGGTAAGCAAGAGACTGGAAATAAATAATTTTTACAGTTTTCCATTATTTTATTGGTTTAAAATAAAAGTACATTTTGGATTTTAGATACGTGTTATGTAAATTTATTTTCCCCAGTTACAGTGCAGTGCAGTACAGATTAATCAGCATGGTATTTTGCATTCATTTTTCCCATCCACGGGTTAGATGCTCGTGTGTACACTAGATGGAGACCTTTACCCCCCTTTGGAAGAGCCAACTGGCACTGACCCCAAGACCAAAAAGAAGGATAAAGACAAGGACAAGAAATTTGTTTGGAATCACGGCAGTGAGTAATTATATACAGACAGCAGCTTTTTGACTTGTTTATATTGAAAACTTGGCATATCAGCAGTTCAGGAAACATAATGTCCCCTCCTTGGGTAGTGGACTGATTTTTGGCTTCGCTAATCCCATTGTTTTGCTCTTTAGTCACCTGCCCTCTGAAGAACACGCGCAAGAGGAGATTTCGGAAGACTGCGAAAAAAAAGGTTCTGACATTTTTCATTTTCCCTACAGCAATCCCCTCCCGTGTCCCATCCATCTCCTTAGCATCTCGTTTGATGATCCATCTTTTTCCTAGGCTCTCTTCCAACAAGACATTTACATTTCATAAAACAGGAACTATGGTAAAAGTGAAAACTAAGATTTACATATAAATAAAGCCTTTCCATCTTAGTTTCCCCCAAAGGCATGCAAAAAAGCTATTTCACTATTGCTTTGATCAAAGTGAAAGCGAGTGGAGCTGGAGCACTACACTTTGTCTACTTTGTCTTCTGAATAAATCTTCCTGAAGGTGCAGAGCTGAGCCATATTGATTTGGCCCCTTCTGTTTTTAATCGCTAATGTACTTCCTGGCATGTGGCCAGCTGCTACCTTGGTGTGTGTGTGTGTGTGTGTGTGTGTGTGTGTGTGTGTGTGTGTGTGTGTGTGTGTGTGTGTGTGTGTGTGTGTAAGATAAGGCAAGAGAGATGCAGCTAATACTACAAGTAACTCGATCTCTCTGTCTCTTGCAGTACATTGAATCTCCTGATGTGGAAAAGGAAGTGAAGAGATTGCTGAGCACAGATGCTGACGCTGTCAGCGTCCGTATCCTTTTTGACACCTAAACATTCTGCACGTCCATCTTAGGACAATAGTAACGGTGTATATCAGGGGTGTCAAACTCAAATACACAGTGGGCCAAAATTCAAAACTGGAACAAAGTCGCGGGCTAACGTTAATATTTATTGAAATATATTTATTCCTCCAGATATAAGAATTAATCTTTTCTTATGGACTCAAACACATTTTGCTGAAAAACTGAATATGGAACAAGCAAAGCTTAATACTAAACAATATATATATATTAGCTGTATAATACCAGTAGGCCAGCTCTAATAGTAATTTGGCATGGCTTTGCGGGCCAAATGTAATTAGGCTGCGGGCCAAATTTGGCCCGCGGGCCAGAGTTTGACACCTATGGTGTATATAAACCATCAAAACAATAGTGTGTATTACATCTTTAAAAGTACTTCAGAGTAAGGCAGAATCAGCTGGCCATTACTTGTAACGTGAAATCTAGTCAGTTTTTCAGAAGCGTCACATAATTACCACTCTTTGTCTTTTAGGTCAAACATAATCTCTGTTTAATTTACCATGTAAAATATGTTGAAGTTAGGCCCAAGTGGCTTTCCTGACTCCTGCATGGTTACATGGTTCACCTGATTTGACTTTCCCTGATGCCTTTGCGAGAGATATGCACTGTGCGAGGAAGCTATTAGTGCTTTAATGAAACCCTAAACTTGCCTGACAGAATAAGAGCATAGCGAGGCTGCCTTGAGTGGCTGCTTGCTGTGTGTTAATTGAGATGGACTGATGATTATCATTGCTTAGTTGGTCACAGTGAAGCAAAGATTCTTATTTTAATTTTAGTGCTTGCATACAGCTGGGGAGATAAACATGGCACTAATGAATGTTAAAACTGAGACAGTTTCTCTGCATCTAATTTGACCCTTCAGGTCTTTTTTTGAAGTAGGATTATTCAAAAGACCACAAGTCTTTTACTTTAGTTTAGGCCCTCTGAAGGTTAAAGGAATCTGCAGAAGGTGTGCCAACCCTTAACCTAGTTATCAGGATGGGAGGTTATCGCAGAGGATGAGTCCAAGGAAGCAGATCAACACAGCTCTCTGGCCAACCTGGATTCCTCACCTGGGACCTCAGGACACAAGATGGGTCATGGGTCCTCTGGTAAATAAAACTTAATTTTAAAAAGTTGTGTGAAATAAGATGTGGTACACTCTGTTATAATGCTCAGCCAGCTTCTCAATTCAGCTAAAAAAGAGAACATGTTCTGCTACCCAGGCCTTTTAGCTGACCTATATGAACACGCGCAATAAAGCTTGATTGATTTAGTTTTTTTAATAATAGCATTATAATTGGGATGAACATTTAAAAATGGTTATCTGAATCATTAAGACTCAGAATACTAGTGAACACATCGCGTAATTAGGATGCAATTCCTAAACTTTTCTTTACTCTGGAAGAGACATATGTACACATGCATAGGGCTGTGCAATATGACCAAAATCTCATATCCCAATATAAGACATGTATCGTCCCGATAATGATATAAATCACAAAAATGTAACAGTTTCTGTAAATTCTGTGAATCTCGGGCAGCTCGACTTGCGTGAAGTGTTTCCAGCTCGTGTACCTGGAGTCGAGTGTTTTAACCGATGCATGAAATTATACATTTTTAGACATAAGTTGTAACGGCCGCCGTTTTCTTTGTGAGTATTTATTACACAGCGTGCTGCGGGGAAAAGCCTGTTCTAACGTTTGAGTCTAAGGTTTGTTTGTTTTTTAGCACCTGGCGGCTCTTTTTTGCTTCCCATTCGTAAACACTGCATACTCTTTCACGTGATTCGGTTTATTTTGAAAAGTCTCAACAGGATCTTGAGCTTTATTGTGAAAGGTTTATGTGGAAAATAAACAAGCGGACACGCGATGGTTTTACTGTCGTTGTTGCTAACGACAACGCATAAAATCGTTCGTGGTGTGGTTATATTAAATATAATGCTGGGCTTACACTGTGCGATTTTTGGCCCATTTTGAGCCGATTTTTCAGTCGTGCGACCGTTTTAGTGATCGCCCCGATTTTGGCCCTTCATCGTGCATCGTGTAGTATACGTGGGATAACGAGAAGCGATTAACACCTCACGACCAGCTCCCGATCATCAATCGCTTGGTCGTGAGGATTTCAAACCTCTTTGAAATCCTCACGACCGTCGTGAGGATTTCAAAGAGGTTTGAAATCCTCACGACCGTCGTGAGGGTGTCGCCGTAGCTGCTCACACTGTGCACGCGCAAACACATAAATGTTGGTGAAAAAGACGGAGTAGCACAGCAGTGCAGCGTGTGATCTGGACACAAGCGATGGAGGCACAACTTGTAGAACTATGGCCTCACAAAATGATCATAACCACAACAACCATGAAAATAGTTGGATGGACATTGCTGCTCAATCACAGCTGCCTGATCAATGTTTTTCATTAGCAATTTAGCAAAGTTGATGGTGGTGCTGTGCGTGTTTGTGTGAGTGAAAGATGGAGAGGGAGAGCGAGCGTCAGATTTTCTGTTATAACCTTCATTTTTATGGACGCACAGTGTGAGCACTCGGGTCGCATCACAGCATCGGCTGTATAGTGTGACACCCTGCATCATGACCTACCAACTTCTAACCCCTGCAAGTCAATCGTACAGTTTGAGCAGGAGCTGAATAACGCGACTGAAAAAAATCGCACAGTGTCTGCCCAGCTTAAGAGAAAGAGAGAACTTTAAGAAATGAATATAGCCACTACAGTAACATCAAAACGATGAAAAAATATTGCCGTAAACAGTTTATTTTGCGACACCACGAAACAAACGATAGCGTAAAATGAAACGATAGATGTTTTTATATCGTCATCCGATATATATTGTTATATCGAACAGCCCTACACATGCATACGAAATGATCTATCCATAAAGCTAATCAGATTGTCCATAAAACAGTCATGAACAAATTAGTGCTGCTGTAACAAGCAATTATGAACAAAACATTTCCCTAACCTTTTTACCTCATTTCATTTTATTTCCTCCTTTCATTCCTTCCCATACCTTGAGGTATGTGGCTAAACTATCTAGTGGTTCATGCTTGAGTGACTTCTACTGTACTGCCAAGTGTTGGAGCAGAGTTATTTTTGCCATGTAAGAGAAGAGCAGGCTGGTTGTTTGGACTCCACATTTATTCCTTCCTGTCATATAAGCCCAGTTTTAAAGCTCCAGTAGACTGTTGGCTCTGTGATCCCAGAGCAAGTGCTCTAAAATCTCGCTGTTTCCATCTTTGTGTTTGCGTTTCTAACGCTAATGTGCTTTCTGCATCACCAGTCCAGCATGATGAACTGAGGGAGATCTTCAATGACATCAGCAGTTCAAGTGAGGACGAGGAGGACGAAGGGGACCGGCATGAAGATGAGGACCTGAATATCATGGACACAGAGGATGATCTGGTCCAGCAGCTCCAGGACAAACTTAATGAGTCCGATTCTGCACAGAATGAAAGTGATAGAAACAACCAGATAGGTATGAGGCAGAAAACTATATACAAGTCATCGTATATAGTTTTCATTGCTGCATTAACTCATAAATAAAATCATCACTAGCTGCAGTCCAACTGATATAAATTACATTTTGTTGTTAAAAATCTCTCACCAGCATCCCTAATCAGATTTTTTATTTTTTTTATTTTATGAAAACAACTTAACAACTAAACACAGGAGAGATAGATGTGATTATTATATGTGATTCTTTATACATTATGCAGTAAAGAGAGTGTGTGTGTGTGTGTGTGTGTGCACCCAGGTGGATGTGAAGTAAGTGCCGCATTAGAATTATGCAATCTTTCATGCCGTGCTTGCAGTTTACACCACAGAGATAATTCTCTTTCTCTTAGCCGACTTCCTCTGTATACCAACAGTTGTTCATTTTTCAGTTGCAGCAGTCACAGCCAAGAAAGTGGGCTTGGCTGCCCAGAGATACTTGTCGAAGTAGAGGTCAAAAATAACCTGAGCAAGGTGTCTGAACTTTTAATCGAAGTGGAATTTTCTAGCTCATCACACACATTCAAATAAATAGCCTTACTTAAATACACGTGCTGCGCCCTCACCCACAGAGATGCTCATTCTGACAGCTCTCAGCTCTCCTCTTCAACTAACCAGTCTGACAGGTGTTGTGGCTCAGCAGGAGGCTCAGGGAGCTGTCCAGTTTGACAGCACAATACCTCCTTAGCTAGATACATAGAACTGTCAGTCAGGCAGCACTTCTGGCCAGCTCAACTGTAGCATCTTGGCGGAGCCCTTCTCAATATGTTGGAGCCAGGCCATGCATGATGATGGCATCCATGCATAGCTGTAAAAGTTGAATGAATGGATTCACATGGCCTCCTTATTGTTAGATAGTCTGCATTACAACAGCTTTGTCAGAATTTGGAGCCAGGGGAAAACGGTGAATGGATACAATTAGTTATAAGATGGTTGATTGGTGGTGGAGACATGGTGGATTTGATGAGAACTCTGTGTGGTGCACAAAGCAGACTGATTTAGTTGTGTCTTTATAGAACTGCATCCTGCTGATTCGTGTCCTTTTAAGTCAACTGATTGTTCCCATTATGGATAATTTGTCAAACTGAACTGGAAGCATCCTTATGGTTCAGCGAGCTAAGCTGCATATCTTGTCCCCGTGGCAAGTGTAGTGTCTCAAATTATGTCACATCATCTTCGCCCTCCAACCTTTTTTGCCTCCTCTTTGCAGCACATAAGTGTTTTTATGACAGCCCTCACACATGAACCTCCCACTGTGTCCTGCAGTTATGGAGTACCAGGTGCAGATCAACAACATTAAGGCCAAGCTTCAGGAAACTCGTGCCCGCAAGAAACAGCAGGAGGAGCTCATCATGAAAGTGGAAAACCAGGCCCTCAAAGTAAGCACTGAAAACACTCACACTTTTTTCACCCGTTCATCCAAAAACTAGGTCTGCATGTACAGAGACGTAAACAAGAACATGCAGATGAGCTTGGAGGCAAAATTGTTCATGCAGCATAAATTCTCTCAAAGGTGGCGGGAAACCTAAATAACAGCTGATTTCACACATTGTTGGAGGACATTATTTTTTTAAATGGTTATTTTAAAACCCAGAATCTTGCATCTCTGCTGCTAGCCTTTTTCTCTGTAGGTTTTTCCATGCACAAAAAAGGAGCTGAAAGTTCATTCTTATGCCCAGCACTCTTTAGTGGAGAATTTACAATGAGTGAAACATGAGCAGACACGACCCTTCCTACGTTGCCATTTAACGCTCTCATTGCTCAGTGTTTTGGGACCGTCAGAGCCCCATCTCCAGTTGTTATTATCACAGTCACATGGAAAAGGTCAGCTGCCTCTGACTGGCATTCCAAGTGGCCTTTCTGTCAGAGAGGAGATACTGACACGAGCAGCCCAGGCCGACACACATTTAAAGCCATCACAATTTAATGAGGCTCAGCATGTCGACTCAAACAAACCTTGTTTGCCTCTCTGCTCTTACAGAACCGTTTCCAAGCCTTGTTGGATGAGATTATTCAGCAGGAGGAGCGGGAGATGGAGCAGGTAAGAACCTTTTTGTAAAAGCCAAGGATCAGTGCTCACTGTGAGCTTTCTACAGCCATCAGCACTTTGCATGAATTTCTCTTGAATGAATGTCAAATATCATGTCGGCGGATGGTGTTGTGTTTGCTATTCTTTTTCAACCCAACATTTTTCATGCCTAATAGCAAAGTTGAAAACCAATCAAGCGCAATTTAATTTGACAGCAGCTACCAGGGGAGTCCTTTTTGTAGCTATGGCATAGTGGCCACCCACTGTCTAGGGTCGTTGTTTGTATTGACAAATGACTGCAGCAAATTAATGTGAAAAGACATGTTAATCATCATCCACTTACCCTTCAATTACACCACGGTGCTGCTGGGCATCAATCACGCCCTCTATTTTCTGCTCCAACAGCTGGCCTCCCTGCAGGAGCAGCTGGACTCACTGATAGAGAAGTGACCACCAGGGGGCAGTCACATGTCATCTTCTGGCATACAGGAAAGACAAGGATGAGAAAAGCCTTCATCCAGGGAGAAGAGAATTTTTATTGGAAGTTGCTGTGTCATTCCTTTAAATTTGTGATTTTCCTATTACACAGCACACAGATTGGTTCACTCAAAGTTTGTGTTTTTAAGTTGACAAAATGCGTTTGTAGTTACTGTGTGATTAAACTGTTCCACCTCAGTGGTTAATGTTGTCTGGGTGTTTATTGTCTTAAAGACAAATTGTCTCTAGCCAATGTTTACTGCAGGTCAACATTTATTTTATTACCCGTCAGAAAAATAAAGTTACAAAATGTATTTATTTTTGTTTATATATTCCTACATCATTGGTACTAATGATCAGCATGGTCGTGGTGGATTTTGGTTCAAACACACCTGATTTGGCAGCTTAGAGCTGTTTGGAGCTCTACTGCAAACAGCTCTTACTGCTTAACTTTTATGTAATATACTGTACTTTCCACTGAGGGATTTGGGTTTAAGTCATGCCAGGATAGTTTACGTATACCTTTAATGTCACTGGAATTGGTTTTCTTCTTTAAAATTTGTTTGTGTTTATATTTTCATGGACGTAGATATAGAAGTAGCAAAGACTTTGACTGCTAAATTTGAGCTTTTTTGTTGTAAAGTACCTTTAACACTAGAATTACTGACCCTTTTTTTTCCTGGTGTAAGTCCCTACTACTAGATTTACTGACCCTGCGTAAATTTGCGTAAATTCCCCTGAACCTAACACCTCCTAGCACCCCGCTGAGAGGCCTACAGCTCCATTGTTCTCCTGCTTTTGTTGTGCAAACATACCCTCCGCCAACCCCCAACCAGGAGAGATTCAGGAGACAGGAGAGAACCAGGAGAAGGTCTTTCCTTCCAATCGTTGTCAGACTCAACAACAAAGTACGGTACCTGCAGCCTACAATACACCATATTAGTAGTAGCTTTTATGTGCAGTATTATGCAATATTAGTTGTCACTACATTGCATACCTGTCCATAAACATATATACAGAGTATATGTACATATATTTATATATCCACACCTTACATAATATATATAAAGTCTAGTTTAGGATATCTGGGCCTTTTTCTTTTCATGTGATATGGGCTAACAAGGATTTGAACGTCCCCCTTGAACTTTCACACATTTTGTCACATTACAGCCACAAACATGAATCAATTTTATTGGAATTCCACGTGAAAGACCAACACAAAGTGGTGTACACGTGAGAAGTGGAACAGAAATCATACATGATTCCAAACATTTTTTACAAATAAATAACTGAAAAGTGGGGTGTGCGTAATTATTCATAAATCACAAGATCACAAATCTTCCACTGCAGCACGTTGACAAAAGTTGTTGGAGCTGGAAGTGAAGGGAGGGTGAACACAAATATCTTCCTGTAGATCTTCACATATATATTATGTGTCTGACAACTCTCTTTTTTTTTTTAACAAAGCTGCCTGTCAGCACACCAGACTGGCCTAACTTTAACCCGTAGCAAAAGCCAATACAAGTGCAGGTTTAATACAGGCTATCTGGGACTGTGTTTAACAGAATAGTTCAAGTCTCCAAATGGATGTTTTTCGGTGTTGTGTGCACCATAAGAAATCGAGGTAAAGGCTGCATGGCCATCTCAAGGCATATTGATGTTTTTATGATAACAATTTGTAATATTATTCGGAGGCTCAACGTCTGCGGGACCATTGCTAACCTCATGAGAAACGACCACAACAGACAAAAATCAACTGAAAGATTTAACATGTTAACAAAAAGGAAGAAGAACCAAATAAAGTCAGAGTCGAAACACATATAACAAGCCGGCGAGATCAAAGCAGGTGTATGGGGAGAGACCCACGATGACCCCGCTTTTAAAAGAGAAAACAGAAAAGCTCATGTTGACAAGCCAGTATTTCTGAAAGTCATTTTACAGATGAAACATGATTAAGAGCTTTTTGGTAAGTTACATCAGCTCTGGGTTCACAGAGGGAAAACAGAATCTGAAATGAAGTTTCATGAAAAGGACACAATCTTCACTATGAAAAATGAAACCTTGCCTCCTTTTTAGTAAAAGACATGTTACGGGCTTGTGCACAAATCACATCGAACATTGCACGGCACAGTGCATCAAGTATCAAGGTGGAACATATCTATTGTCAAAGCTCGGTCTCACTTGCAGGTCATGGCTCCTCCAATCGTATAAAAGACCCAAAGTATACATTTAAAAGCTCTCCACACGGGTTGAGAAGGTGACCTTTATGTGGTGCCCTGCTATGAATCCCAGTTTTAATCCCACTGAACATCTGTTGAAAGAGCTGAACCTCTTCACTGGGAGAAGGTACCAATCAAGCCTGAGACAGGTTTGCTCAAGTAAGAGGGTGAAACTACCGGTTATGAGCAACAATAGGGGCTTGGTTTTCATCTGACTCAAGAGTGTACTACAGAATGTTATTTTAAGTGTCCTTGAAATAGATGTCCTATATATGTGCGTGAATAGTCTATCTCAGCTACAAGTTTTGTTTATTGGCTCAGAATCAGTACTATGTCACACACTTTAATGTATTTTAAGCTTAAAGAGCGTGGTAGCATAGTGGTTAGCACTGTTGCCTCACAGTAAGAAGGTCCTGAGTTCAATACCATGTGTTAATTGAAAAATCTAAATTGCCCATAGGTGTGAAAAGGTGAGTGTAAATGGTTGTCTGTCTCTCTGTGTGTTAGCCTTGTTACAGACTCGTGACCAGTCCAGGATGTACCCTGCCTCTCACCTTTAGATAGCTGGGATAGGCTCCAGTGACCCCCATGACCCTGAAAAGGAGAAGTGGATGGACGGAGTTGTTTTCTACCCTAAAGATCAAAACATTCAAGGGGCTCAAAGTGAAATGGCCACATCTTACAAGTCTCCAGGTATCATTAAAGATCAGAAATGAGCATTTACTACTCGCATTTAAAGGTTTGCGTCCAAGATGAAACCTAAAGTGATTTATGCAACATTTTACATCTTTTTACCTTTATTATGTTGTGGTGATCTTCTTTTTATGATTGCACCTGACCAGTACCCGAAGAGCTTAAATACTGCACTGGCTGTGGAAATCATTTACATCACTGTTATCTGTTTGGTAAATGGCCTGTATTTATATAGCGCTTTACTAGTCCCTAAGGACCCCAAAGCGCTTTGCATATCCAGTCATCCACCCATTCACACACACATTCACACACTGGTGATGGCAGCTACATTGTAGCCACAGCCACCCTGGGGCGCACTGACAGAGGTGAGGCTGCCAAACACTGGCGCCACCGGGCCCTCTGACCACCACCAGTAGGCAACACGTGAAGTGTCTTGCCCAAGGACACAACGACCGAGACTGTTGGAGCCGGGGGCTCGAACCAGCAACCTTCCAATTACAAGGCGAACTCCCAACTCTTGAGCCACAATCGCCCACACCGGGGCAACTAAATAGCCATCTCTTTATATCTGCAGACTTTCCCATTGGTTGGCTTTTATCTATAAATCTCTGCTTGGACTGGTGCCTTCTTATCTGCGTTTCTATATGTGTAAAAACCTCAACCTCAACCAATACGTCATACACTCTTACAGTAATATAAAAACGTTTGTCCCCAAATTTAGAACAGAATATTGCACAGACAAGTGCAATATTTTGCACTTGTCTGTGCAAAATATTGTATTTGTTTCTTTGTTACATGTTTATGTGTTGTACTGGTTGTAATTTCCTGTGCTCTCATGGTCTCTCTTGGCAAAGAGATTTTGATCTCAATTAGACTTTTGCCCAGATAAATAAATGATAATGAAGTTAAATATAAATATAAATAAAAGTAGCAGAACAATCTAATCTAAAAAAAAAAAATTTGATTAACAATAAAAGTATTTAAATACTTTGGAGCCTAAGGCCAGATTTAGTTGGAAGGATGCTCTCTCTACACCCTCTGCCTCCCAGCTGAGGGACAGCTGCATCTTTAGGACATCACTGCGTCATCAGAGCACTCTTCCTCCAGAATGATCTTTACTTGTTCCAGACCGATCTCGGCCTTTCTCATCCACATGATTCAGCGGTCATCCCCGCCTCTCCCTTCTCCTTCCAACAGGGATTGCCCCCACCAATCACCGGAGTAGGCAAGGGATTAGCTCCTCAGATTAAAGTGGCCATCTCCAAACCCTGTCTAATCCTACCATCTGTCAGAGAGCAGCAAACTAGCCAAGACTCTTGCCACTAGGCTAATCAGAAAGTCAAAAGAACACAGCTAGAGGGAGAAAGACATTTCGAAAACACACTTTTCTGTTTCCCAGCGTGGCAATGGAGGAGACATACCTTCTCAACTATCCAGGTGTCAGGAAGAAAATTCTGGCAGGAGGCAGTGGACCGTTGCCTCACTTTCCACCTGGGACAAAGGTATTCTAAATTGCAGTTAACGTGATAACCTAATCGTTAGGGTAGGTTATCACGCAGTGTTGATGACACTGGTTGTGTGTACAATAATAACCATTGTGGAGTAATTCATGTTCCACGGGGGGGGGGGGGGGGGGGGGGGGGATTTCTATCTTGGGTGTCTATTTTTAGCTGTGTGTTGCAATGCCCACTTCAATTAGATTCTGTTGAATTATTCATGAAGTTAGAAAATTTATTCTGTATCTGGCTCATGCACACAGAGCAAACATTTGGTCAACCAAATTGCAACATGTTTTTTGGCACTGTATCTTTGTTTCTGTGCTTCCACTGATCTGCTGGTTTCCGACTTTTTCCCTTCCTAGTCACATCCAGCCATATGGCACCGAGCCTGGACACTGTGACAAATATTTTCCATGACAATGCCAGCATGAATTTCCATTTACCTGTGCGCGCGTGTGTGGATGTGTGCGTTCCCTCCCCAGTGAGGTGATTCCCATTTGTTCACACAGTTATCAGACTGTTGCGATTACACGCAATCTGTCAGGCTATAAATAAGGTTACACAGATCCAACATTATTTTTAAGTCAGGGTGATGCTAAAACCTTGACGACTCTTAGATGCACGCAAACAGATGATGTCTGAAATATATCATGTATGTCATTCAGTTTAAAAGTACTTACTGTAAATTATATTTACAAAATATACAAGAAAATAATTTTCAAGTTAAATTGGATTTTGTTTTTATTTGGAAATGACAAAGGGGGCTTTTTAGTTTTCTTGTTGTAATTCAAAACTATTTTTGTTTTAGCCACTGATTTAATGGGCTTTTAAAGCTTGCAATCAATGGAACAAATTAACATTCACTAGAAAAGGACAATCAATAGGCTTTGAGAAGATGTGGTAGATCCTTTATATTGACTGCAGGAAATTATTTAAGAAAACTTTCAAGATTTAGGTGGTGATGTAAGTATTTGCAGACAAAGATATTTTTTAAAATTATTATTTCTGTATAGTGCTGTGAAAACGTATTTCTGATATATATATAATTTTTACATATTTGTCACATTTACATGTTTCAGGTGGTCAAATTAATTTTAATATTGTTTTTAAATGATGATTCAGTTTGTCAAGAGAAAAAACGTATCCAAACCTAGGCTTATGTGGAAAAGTAATTGCCCCCTAAAACTAGAAATTGGTTGGCAGCAAGAATTGTAACCAAGCGTTTGTGACAACTGGCAATGAGTCTTTCATATCTCTGTGGAGAATTTCTGTCCCACTCTTCTTTGCAGAACTGTTGTAATTCAGCCACATTAGAGGTGTTCTGAGGTCATCTCAAAGTATGGATTTATGTCTTAACTCATTCACTGCCAGCCATTTTCAAATGGCTGGCAGTGAAACACAACAAGACTTGCACCGCATTTTTGTCTCACTGCGCAATCCCTTACGTGTGCAAACCCTGCACCTCCTTGCAGGTCTACTTTTACTGCTGGTGGGCTTCAGTTCAACTTACGTTGACTGCCATTGACGTCTATAGACGTCAATGGCAGTGAATGAGTTAACTTATGGTCTCTCAAAAACCTTCATATTGTTGTTATTGAGCCATTCAGAGGTGGAATTCCTCATTGTCCTGCTGGATAACCCATGTTTGCTTGGGACAAAATGATGGCTGGACATTCTCCTTTAAGATTTTCTGAAAGAGAAAAAAATGTATGGTTCAATGAATTACAGCAAGTCATCCAGGTGCAATGGGACATAATATATTTATAAAAGTCTTCAGGATGTCTTCAGTTAAGAAGTTTTATAGCAAATGGTGAGACGAGCCTTCGTGTTCTTTCTGGTCAGCAATGGTTTTCACCTTGAAACTCTCCCATGGATGCCATTGTTCCCCCGTCTTTCTTATTGTTGAATCATGAACACTTTAACTGTGGCAAGTGAGGCCTGCAGTCCTTCAGATGTTGTTCTGGGTTCTTTTATGAGCTCCTGGATTAGTTGATGCTCTTGAAGTAATTTCTGTAGGCTGGCCACTGCTTAAAGGTTCACCTCTGTTCCAAGTTTTCTCTATTTGTGGATAATGGCTCCCATTGTGGAGTCTCAAAGCGTTATAAATGACTTAGATGTCAGGGACTTTGTTTTTCGTCTGTTCTTACGTTTTTGGGCTCTTTTCGACTTTTTTACTTTGTCAGATTGCTTCTATTTCTCAATTCAAAAGGCAGCAGTCAGGCTGGGTGTGAAAGTGGAAAAAAAAAGTTAATCGGAACTAATTCCTGATTTAACAAGAGAGGACAATTAATTTTCCACCCAGTTAAGTTTAGATAGCTTTTACCCCTTTAATAAATAAAATCATCATCAAAACTGTATTTTATACTCAAGCAGCTTATCTTTGTCTTGTTTTGTAAACAACTTGATTTTTCATGAAATATGCAAATGTTACAAAAATGCAAAAAGCTAAGAAATCAGGGAAGGGCTAAATGTTTTTCACCACACTGTATATTAAATATTTTGTTGAAAAATCAGTGGCCACTTTATATGTCTAGTGAAGTCTCCACTCACTGTAGTTTGTGCCATTAATCTCTTGTACTCTCCCTGTTCCCACTTTCCAAGCTGGTTTTCCACTTCCAGACACTGTTGGACAACTTCGAGAGGACAGTCATTGATGACAGCCGACTAGCTGGCAGACCGGCAGAGATCTTTGTCGGAAAGATGTTTAAGATGGAAGTCTGGGAGACCCTGTTGACGTCCATGCGTGTTGGAGAGGTGGCTGAGTTCTGGTGTGATGCCATTGTGAGTTGGATTACAAACCGCACGCACACATTCTGAGATATCCGGCCCCTGAGAGGATGTAATAAGTGTTCATGACTGGGAAAGGGAAGCTTTTACTCCTCATTATAATGCACATGAATCAACGTTCTGTAGCCTCCAACATGCTCAGTAATATAAACATAAACAAAGCAATCTCTTTGTGCAATTTTTTTCTGTTTTTCCTTCTGGAGGAAAATGTAATTTGCAAGTAAAATTGTGCGACTTCTTGTGTTTTTTCTTGTACGGCTGATTGGCACGGGCTGCCAGAACCAGAGGGTTAGCATGATTAAGTGCTTCTGTGTTTTATTCTAGATGTTGCGTGCATGATTTTGTTGATGTGCTAATTTCACAGCACACAGGCTTGTACCCCATTGTGTCCAAGGGAATGAGACTGATCGCTCAAGGGAAAGACCCTCTGGAGGGTCAGAGACACATGTGCGGAATGGGAAACCTGTTCCATTATCACTCCACGGGTTTCCCGGAGCTGGATGAGCTGATGCGGACTCCTCAGCCGCTCATATTTATTATGGAGCTGCTGCAGGTAAGCATCTGTGACAGTGACAGTGAATAGCGGAAGAAGAGAATGAACAGCTTCTCCCACTTTTTAGCTTACGCTACACCAGCTTACGCTTTTCTAAAATTTACTGACAGCACTGACTAAAGTGCCTCTCTGTCTAAAACATTCAGCTTTGAAATATTATATTTTCCCAAACAAGCTTGAGACTAATTAGCGAGTCCAGTATTGCTGGCAGTGCATTAACATTATTTCTGTTTCACATCAGCTGACAAATCTTCAGCAGTGGAAAAATGTAGATACTTTATGAAATGTCTTGATGCATGCTCAATGATCCAAGTAAAGAAATTCCAAAAAGTTGATTCTATTTATCTGGACCTAGCGTTTCAGTGGGAGAAATGTTTTGCAACTCATCAAAATGACTTCTTCAGTCTCCAAAAATGGATCCTTTACCTAAGTAAAAGTTTCATTATCACAAATTGAAAGTATATAAGCAAAGTTTAAAGTTAAACAATTATTATTGCTATTGGTGGACTGAAATAACTACTAACTGTAGCTTTAAATAACTGTAATAAAATAGACAAATTTATCACGCATGCTTAGTACCTGTTTAAAATTCACTTGCATCATTTATCTTCTTCTCCTATGCAGGTAGGAGACCCCATGTCCTACCACAGAGAGTCGTGGATGATGGAAAAGGATGAAAAGCTGCAGACAGTGCCAGTTCTCCACATGCAGGGCAATGCTCTGGTCCAACAGAAGAAATACAGAGATGCTGCCAGCAAGTACAAAGAAGCTGTCCTGCTGCTAAAAACTGTCCAGTCTAGGGTGAGTGAAGAGCGGTTGGAAGAAAGGTGGGATGTAGGCAGGGTGTGTGTGTTGTTTGTGTGAATCTGTCTGTGTGTTTGTGTGGGGAGGGGCATGCAAAATGAGTACTGGGGAAGCTTGTGAATTCTGAGGTCTCTTCAGGATTTGGGGTTTTTGGGACATGCAGCTCCTTCTTTTCCAGTGGGACATTCCTGTTTTCCTGTTTTGCTCTGCTTCATGGTGTCCCTGATTACATGCAGCCGGGTGGGAGGCAGGCAGCAGAAAAAAAAAGGAGACCTGTCTTAGATAAGAGCAGAGAAGGTGGGTGGTGGGGTGTGAGGATAGCGCAATGCTCTAGGGAGAAGAAAAGTTATGTTAAAGTGAACACACAACAGTTTTAGACATATTTGAAGGTTTCATGTTGTGGCTTACAGATAGCTGGCCTTAAACGCTTGGTAAAGTAAAAATGATAATTAAATGTACTGAATTCTTATAATTATTAAAACAGCAAAACAAGAGACACTCACAGACACAGACTTGACACTGAGACATGACTAACTGGGGAAACGCAAGGGAAGCACGAACCCGGAGCACAGAGACAAGAGTAACAAACTGATAAACATGGAAGAAGAATGACCACGGAGACAGAACTAAACATACACGATAGACTACGCAGGGAGGCACAAATGAGAACAGACTAAATGAACAACAACACACAACAGAAATACAAATGATTAAACCAGGAAGAACGAAACTAAACAATAGTAAAACGAGAACATAAGAAAACTAGAAACACCGTGACAATCTCTCAGAGAGCTGAAAATGACTGTTCAGTGATGTTCCCCATCCAACCTGATGGAGCTTGAGAGATCCTGCAGGGAAGAACTACCCAAAAAGAGGAGTGTCAAGCTACTCAACAGGACCTGAGGCTGTATCTGCTGCCAAAGGCGCTTCAACAAAGTATTGAGCAAAGGCTGTGAATACTTATGTGCATTTTGTATTTTATTTTTTTTTTTAATAAACTTGCAAGAATTTCAAGTAAAGGTTTTCCCTTTGTCGTTATGAGTTATTGTGTGTAGAATTTTTAGGTGAGAAATAAATTCAATTGATTTTTGAATAAGGCTGTAACATGACAAAACAAGTGGAGAACTGAGAATACTTTTCATGTGCACCGTATAACTACTAAGCAAGTGTTGAATGAACATGTTGTTTTTCTTTTAAATCTGCATTCTTGTGTAGGAGATGCCAGGTGATATAGACTACATTAACCTAGGTCGAATGATTGTCCCCCTGGAGCTGAACTACTGCCAGTGTATGCTGGAGCTGGAGGAGTACTATGAAGTCATAGAGCACATGGATGAGCTGCTGCAGAAACACAAAGGTAAAGAAACATGCTGGAGAAAGAAGAATTGTGAGGGTTTATTCTGATTATTCTCATCATTTCTGGTTAAGAAACATCTTTAATTTGACTTTTTTCAGGAGAATCAACAGGGCACACTTTTATATATTTCCTGTCACCTAGATTCACATTTGCACGGTTGCATCAGCAAGCTTAATCCTGTGCACAGAAGTAGTTCAGCAGTGCACGGCTGTTATTCACTCTTTCCCTCCAGAGATTTGAACCAGCAATGATACCATATGCTCATAGTTCTCTAACCTCCAGGGTACTGCTGTGCCCAAACTTTGAAAGGGGGAGGGATAAGCTCCAATTCTTGCTATCATCAGCCTTTGTTAGCTGGGCTAGCATAATTTACGGATGAGAGCCATTACTATTTAAAATGATTCCAAATCTTTTATTCTTTCCAGAGCTGTAAAAATAAAGAAATCTTACATTTGACAGAAATCTTTTTCTATTTTTAAGACTTTAGAGCTGTTTTTGCGTATACATGTCAGTGAAGAGGTTTGTTTTCTTTATAAAAATTCTACCTGCAAGTCTAAGTGTCATTCATGCAAAGTAATTCAGAGCAAGCTTGACCAGAATATCCTCGAGAATGTCCTATAACATCGACATAACTGCACGCATTATTGTATTCTTGACTTTTCTAGAAATAATTAACATTTTCGTTTGTAACTGACTTATAGGAGTTTTGACATTTTGATACATTTGGCTATTTGCTTTCTTGACAAGACAGAGGAAGATTGATGCCACTCTGATGCATGAATTTTAAATCTGAAGGAAACCCAGATGGCCTTCACATAGATCCCTCCTGGTGTTATTTTTTTAGTCTCATAAACTAAGTTGGGATAATATCAATTCACTCTTTATAACCGTCATCATTATCAGTTTAATTTGCACCTCTCGATTCAGGCTTAACAAAAACAGTCATTTCAAAATCTTGTAAAAAGCTGCCAGGTGAGAATCTGATGCCTGCACTGGTTTTACTGCATGTTGCAACTGTTTCTTGTTAATGACAATTTTAAAGCTGCAGCAGTCCCGGGAATTGCAGTGTCATACCCATGGCTGCTCAAAATCCTAGAGGAGCCTCTTATGCTGGCACAGCCTTCACTTCAGAGCCTCATGAATTATGCCCATGTTGAGGCAGTCTTTATTTTACTCTCTTCTCCCCAGTCTGGGGTTTCCACTTCCCCAGTGTTGTGTATTTGACTTTTGCATTATTTGTGATGTGGGGCTATAAATCTGTTTATCACATTATGGTGACTTACCTTTCCTTTAAGGACAAAAAAAGTACTCATGGTGTAAGGAGAAGACTAGGTTGTAAGGAAAAGATACTGTAAGTCTTTTGGAAAGTAGTGTATGCAATGTAATGTCTTTTGAAATGATGCAAACACAACACTATGTGGGGCAATAGAAGGAGATGTGTAAACTGAGCACAAAAGTTTAGCATGGATATGGTGGGCAGGATTTTCTGGGCTTCCCGACCCAGTTTGAGCACTTGTCACAAAGCTGCAGGGCTCTTTATGAAGCTTAGAAGCATGTAGCCCCCACACAAGCATTGATACACCTTCTTCTACTCTTCTCCTCTCTTATTGTCCTCAGTTTCATTTCTCCAGTCCTTTTCTAGCTGTGTCTTAGTTTCATTTCACACTTCCGTCTCCTTTTGCTCACCACTCTGCTTGCATTCTTCGTGCTGTTGTTGTTCCTCCTGTCATCAGTATCACGTTGTCTGCATGAGTTCCTGTCAGCCACTCGGCTGCTGATTCATCCCTTCAACCCATTTGTTCTTTAGAAAAGGATCACTGCACTGTCTCTGCTTTGCCAGAGGCGACAGTGAAATCTGTTTAACTGCTGGCTGAACGAAGATTTAGCGTAGAGGGAAATTAAATGCAGAGAAACAGGAAAATTCAATTATATGTGTCTATCTAAACTAAACACAAACAGGGGCATTGCAATGTGTTCGCATGGTGTTTCCACATGTCTGCACTTTCCAATTTGGGAAATGCAGTTATTCACTTTGTGGTCTTTAATTAAATGCTTGAAAAAAAAGCACAGGAGGAAAAACCCAGTGTTCAATTTGTAAAGCAGGAGATATGCTGTACAGTGAGGCTGCTGCTCTGCTGGGTCAGGGGAGAGAAAAATTCCTGGAAAACACACACACACACACACACACACACACACACACACACACACACACACACACACACACACACACACACACACACACACACACACACAACCTCAAGCATAGAAAACAAAGACTAGGTGCTAGGTTTTAAAAACTAAACAAAACAAATAATTTAGGCAATTTAATACTCGCTGGGAAGCTTTTAGTGCACTTATAGTAAGGTCTCATAATGATGCTTTGTAAGTCTGAGATTTTTAGGTGTACTCAGTCTAGAGAATATCAAAGGAGAGTAAAATAACAGGCCTGTGTTTACACTTCCATGCCTATTTGTCCTTTTAGATATTACGTGGATGATTATTTTCCCCTAAAGTACAACAATTTTCAGCATCTTGACATCCTCCTAACATGGCAATGCTGCACAGCAGCAGCTACACTGAGCTTAAATGAAATAAGTCTACACTGACAACATTAGCTTTCACGCTACCAAACTCTTAGACCCACCAAGATTGGATTCCGCTGTTTGCTATTTATGAAACACTGCCTCAACACACAAGATTGAAGCATTTCGTAAATTACACAAGGTCAGCCTCACATGGAGCATGACACTCTGAAAAAGACTGAAAGAGAAGTTTAACATATAAGTATCAAATGTTAAAACTATTAGTGTTATAAAAAGAACAACTTACAAGGGTGCAAAGGATGAGCAGCAAATGCGCAGTACATTCTGAATCTCTGTTTTTGAGTTTGTCATTGGAACACTGCAGTTCTGGGGAAGCCATACTGACTTTCAAAAATATGATTTTCATAGACGAGGTTCTTTAAATAAAACGTACAGCCAGCTAGTTTAGCACAAACACTCTAATAAGGGGGAAACATTTAGCCTGACTCGATTCAAAGGTCACTCCACAGTCATTTCTAAAGCTACCTAATTAATGCGCTGTATTTTGGTTGTTTGATCTAATAAAACTACATTTTTTAGTCTTTTTTCTCACAAATACACAATGGGGTTGTTAGTGAGCTGTAGAAGTGGATGGGGCAGAGCCAAGCTTGCTGTTTTTCTCTGTTTCTAGTCTTTGTATGAAGCTCAGCTAACCCACTAGATGTAGCTTCAGCTTTTCATTAGTTGCACCATATCTCATTCAACTCTGGAAAGCAAATAAGCTTTCCAGAATTATTTTTTTTTTAGGGTTTATTAGAGTTTTGCAGATTTAGTTTAGATGAGAACTAACAGGTCACACCTACTCTCTGTCCTAAAAGCTTATAAATAGCCACCTGTGCTTCAACGTGCATATCAGATTGATTTACGTTTTTTTGCAGTTATTATTTCACTGTGTTGTTGTTTCTTGCCTTTTCTGTTTCGTAGACTGTGTCAAAGGCTACTACAAAAGAGCCAAAGCCCACACTGCTGTGTGGAATGAAAAGGAGGCCCGGAGAGACTTCAACATGGTGGCTCAACTTGACATCACTTTGGCGTCCCTCATCCATCGAGAGCTGAAGGCCCTGTCGGAGCGCATGAAGGAGAAATATTGGGAGGAGAAGGAGCAATACTGGAACAAGCTAGAGAAAAATGAAAACGCAAAAGAAGTGGGGGAGGCAGAGAGGAATGATGAGGAGGAGGAGAAGCAGACAGGAGAGATAGAAGAGGGAAAACAAGAACATCTCGAAAGTGTGACAACAGCGGCAAATGATAAAGTGGGAGGTGGTTCCAAAGAATCTCCCCCTGAATATGCAGAAGTTCACAAAGAGAACCTCGGGGAAAATAAGGTTGCACTGACTGAGGGAACAGTTACCAAAGAAGAAGCAGTGAATTTAAACACTTGCAATAAAACAGAAGGCAAGGACTGGCAGCAGATGTTACGACTGGTCATGTTGCTGCAGAATGAGGGGAATTTCCTCATTAAAGAGAACCACTTTCAAGAAGCTTCTGGAAAGTTCAAGGAGGCTATAGAATATGTGGACTGCCTTCAAAATAAAGTAAGTAATTGGTGATTAAGTGAGGGTTTGTAAAAGCGTTCAAGTAATTGTGTTGTCTTTTCCAGGCAATTGAATGTAAAATAGAGCTTTTTGTTGCGATGACAGTACCCAGATGGACATACCACATTAACAGCCACCGGTTCAATCCACTCAGTGTGATGAATAGTCGAACATGCCAGAGAGTAGTCTTGCTAAAGGACCGCGACTCACTGTGGCTTGTAAACTGTAATCATCTGTCATTGTTGCTTTTTTACTGAAGAGCAGCTGTGGCATTGTAGGTACACTGGCAAAGTGAAGAGCAGAGAAAGTGCTCTGAAAATAACAGCTATCCACAGAGATATCACTGTCACACTGCTTGCCTGCTCTTCTTTTCTCTTTCTTAAACTCTCCTTTCTGCCACACCTCTGTGTCTAACTCCCTCATGCCTTTCACACACAACAAACTCTCCGCTGTCCTCAACCCACCCACTTCCATCTTTATTTCTCCTCATTCTAAATTCCTCTGCCTCCTCCCGGTATCATTTTCCACATCCGAGCTTTTTCGTCGTGCCTCCCAACGCTTTATATATTTGCCCCTACCTTTGTTTCATCTTTTCAACATTTCTCTCGCCATCTATCACTACCACCTCCTTTGCCCTCACCCTCCCACCTACCCGGCTTTCATGTCCACTCTCTTTTCTCTGCAGGTGGATCAACAGGGTGAGGACTGGGATTCGCTGGAGAAAGTGCGTCTTCCTTTGACTCTTAATTTCAGCCAGTGCATGCTGGAGCTAAAACAATACCAGCAAGTTGTGGAGCTCAACACCAAGCTGCTGAAGAAACACAAAGGTAATATTAGAGTGAAAATTGAGTTTGGTATAGAAATAGATACTTGAGTATATAAATATACGCCGGTTTAGTGCGTACAGAAAAAAAAAAAACAACCCCAAAAAACCTATCATTTTTAAGCTAAAAAATTTCAAGTTCTCCTGCCAGCCCTCAGCAAACACTCGCCTTCACAGTGCAACAAGCCTTGATCTTTGTGTTTACCAGGGAAAGAAGAAAGCAAACATTCACAACCGCAAAGCTGTGTCTATCTTTTGTTCCCTCAGCTCCCACCCATGGACATCACAGTCAAAAATGAATTCATTGTTTTCTTTTTGTTTGTGCTATGATGAATTATTAACAGTTAGGGCGATCTGAAAAGGTTGTTTTATGCGTTTCTTTCCCGTTCATTTACTCCTCTCGTGCGTTCACCTCCTACTACATCTCCTGTCTCACCGCTGGCATTCAGTGTAGTTAACTCCTGTGGTATTCATTTTATCTTCAACTTTTACGGCTTTCCAGTTTTACTCTTGCCGGCCTACCAATCATTCTTACCTCCTGTTGCCTCTTGTGGTGTTTACGAGTCAATAGTATTGCCATTTATACTTATTCGCTCTCTTTTCTCAATAGGTAATTTCAAGGCAGTGTACCAGAGGGCTCGGGCTCATGCTGCTTTGTGCAATGAGGATGAAGCTCGAAGAGACTTTGATACGGTGGAGAAACTGGACCAGAAGTTTAAACCCTTTGTGCAGCAGGAACTGAGGAAGCTGGGCCAGAGCATGCGTTCTATGCATGCCAGTCAGAACAAGACTTACTGGGATACAACACAGGAGAAGTGGGAGCCTGGTGGGACCAAGCCCACGAGTGCAGCCAGAAAGAAGAACGTCAAATTTCCTCCAAAAGCCACAGAAGGAAAAGCTAAAGCAGATATTAATGTAGATAAGAAGACTGAAGACACTAAGAGCCAGGAGATGGAAAGCTCAGAGAAATGCACCCCTGTCGAGACAGAGGGGGTGGATGGTGCAGAAACAGGGAAAAATCCAGATGTGAAAGCAGAGCAGGGTAATAAAGAGCCAGAGCGTGGGAGAGCGAGTGGAGAGGGGTTAGATAATGAAAGTATAGAGAAGGCCGTGGTTCATGAAGCTGGGCTGGGTGTACCAGATAATCAAGCAATAGATAAAGATAGAGATCCTGCGCCCGCCAGCTCCGGCAAAGATAATGCAGCGAGCAAGAGATCAGTGCGCGATAAGGCGAGAAAGAAGGTAAAATGTCAATCAAGTGCTGCACCACAGCCAAAGAGAACAAACTCAGGGAACAAAGCCAACAGGGCTAAAACAGAAAAGGGTGGCACTGCATCAGAATAGACCAATGAGCCGTTTTTTCTGCGCTGAAGCAAAGGTTTAAGGTAGAAGTCGAGGGCAGACTGAATAACAGAGTCAGAAAAAAAATGACAAGCACACAAGCCTCACAATGGGACATACACAAATCCAAATATAAACACAAAAAGAAAAATTAATATAAAACAGCCTGTATTTGGCACCATTCTGAGTTAACTTTCATTATTCAAATCTCAAAGGGATAACTGCAGTCACATGAAATAAACAAAAAAAACAATAACACGAGCAGACAAGGAGTTTGCCAAATACAAACTTTTATTTCTGTACACAAAGAGTAGAAAGCAGCCAGTAACCCACTTGTTATTACAGTAAAAAGCCTTTCTTCAGAAACCCTTTTTTTTTTTAATACAGATTAAAAACTCCAGAGAAAAGACGAAAAGAAGTGTTTTGAGTTCTGGACAATAAAACAGGAAATCAAAAGTGTTAAAGAAGTCAAACATTATGATTAATGAGGTATATTAATGGTGATTTAAAAGAACACACAAAGAAGAAAAGAAACCTCATTTCATCAGAAAAAAACCCGAGTGTGTTAGAGTAACAAACTTATATATGTTGCGTGACATACAAGCGCATGTGTCCTTGTTACATATTTAGATGCGTGTTGGTAAACACAGGAGGGAGGGTCTGACACTGAGGCGGCAGATTAATGACAGGGCCCGTGGAGCATGTTGGCAAGCTACATGCAGTAACAGAAGTCTGAGCAGTGATAGCGGTGTCCTCTGGGGGTGACTCCGGCTTATGTAGAGAACCTTTTTTCACCCGGCTTCAGTCATGCCACAGGGAGCAGTGTGTGTTAGTGTGTGTGGGGCAAAACAGGAAGCCACTAGGAGTAAAGAAATGTGCACACGGATGAGACCTCAGATGATCACACAGTCACGCATCATCATTTATTTGGATGGCGGTGTCGAGCAGCAGCAGAGTGAAATGTTGGGACAAACTGTGAATTGCAATGTAACCCTGTAGTATAACTACCTAGTCTATGTGCGTATATGTTTGTGTCATTCTTTCGCCACTATATGGTGTTAAAATAAACATGACAACTGTTGATGTGCAGTCCTACTGGGGGGGTTGTCTCCCCTTCTTTTTCACAACCTGTCACTGCGCCATCATCTTGTGTACCCACATAGAAACGTATGGAGCAACTGAGAGCAATGGATAATCATCACTGTGTAATGAGATGTGTAAATACCAATAGATAAATGTCTATGAATAAACATCGCTTGTCATGGCTTTTTTTTTTTTCTCCCACGAGCTGTGCAGCTGCTCTTTGTTCTGAGTTGCGAGAGCTTTAACAAAACAAATTCTCAAGCAGTGCTGATGCAGAGATGGGTTCAACAAATAGTAATGACTATCTTCAGCAGCTTAACAGTGGCAGGCTTCAGTGGAGGTGGACGTGGAGAAAAGGAGAGCTGTGTTTGGGAACCAAGGGCCTCTCTTGCTTCCCTTAAGGCTATTAGCATTTGTATTATGAATGGCACATCACGTTTCCAACTTGCAAACCTGTGGAGCTTTGTCCTTGGGGGCAGTTCCCTAGCAACGGTATCAAAACTAACAGGCAACGAGTGCTGAGGAGGATGGTGTCAAATGTGAGTGCTATGTGCCTGGAGGAAGATCCCATAATGAATGCAGCACATGGGTTTTAAACTCATGTATGTGGGGTCAGAATGATATTTTTAAAGTTTAGCATGGATTCTTCAATGTATATGAGAATGGGGTGGTTTGAGTACGGAGAAACACACAGAACCACAGCTTCATTGTTTCAGGCAAACTTTAGTCCTGCTTCTGGAGATTTTGCTGTGGCAGGCACATCAAAGTGGATCTCTCCCACCAGCCCTCAAGCAATAAATGGATTGTTTTTTTTATGCCTTTCCTCTCTTGTCTCTTAGATCTTTACTCCCTCCAAGCATACCTGGCACCATGGGTTCACTCATACAAGCCTTATTTAACCGGTTTCACCCTATGGATGCTCACATGCTGTGATCCATTCCAGCTGTCACTTCCAATCAACCACAGGTCTGTCCGGGACTGACAGACACTAGTGCACAAACACACTCCTGACGCAACCTCCTTCCCTGAATTTAAAGCATAATGAAAAAAGAAAGAAAACGTGGAGAAAGACTAACTCTTGTCTTTTATGGATTCAGCTCGGTTTTAAGGCATTAATTGACTGTGCTATGTTTAGAACAAAATGCACCCTATGAGCTTGATACGATGAGGGTGAAACTATATCAACGACACATCCTTTTGTAAATCTAAAAGCAATTAAGTATGCATTAACATGAGGGGAAATGACACATGCAGAGTCAGTAGCTACTGTTCTTTTCAAATCTACATGGAATGAAGGGATTATTAAGAACGGAGCTGGTGTGGGACTGAGTTATCTTGGTGTGCCTTATACCCCCCCTGTAGTTTTTGAATTAGCATATCGAGGGGTGGGGGAGCTTTAACTTTTAGGAGCTCCTTCCTTCTGTCTGCACATAGCAGGAGAACCCTAAGATCTCAGAGCAGTGGCATGCATGCTGATATTTATCAACAGACATTTCCTAAACAAAACACAATCCCATTCACAAAACAAATTGGCTTACCACTGAGAACTTGTTTATATCCTTCAAGATGAAATAGATCTCCATTTTTATGAAATTGGCCTATGGTGTATTTCTGGCGATACATCACAGCACATGTTATCGATCATGCAGGGAGCCATTTGGTTATTTGTGCATAATGTGGGTGGATGCGTGGGGGCTATTGCAAATAGGGGTGCGTGTGTAGCAGCATACGTGTGTGCACATACACTGAGTGCAGTTAGTGCTCTATGGGTGTAAAGGGCTCACTTAGGAGAGGCAAGCAATGAGTGCGACAAGCAGTGAGACAGGATTAGAGGAACACAGTGTGTGCATACAGAGGCGCTGTGCTAGCGGGCACTTTGGCTGTCTCAAATAAGTCATGGATTTAACTGATAATGTGTCATTCTGAAAAAGTAAATAAGCCCGTTGTGGGTGCTGTCAGCTCCTTGACAGTCTGCACCACGCAGCCACATAAAATGTCGTCAGCCCAGCCCTGATCTAGCTTACACGGTTAAGCTTTAGCTCACCTCCTTGTTTCAAAATACAAAAATAACAACCATGACAACACATTCAGGAGGGGGGGGAAACACACACTGAAGATACAGGCATTTTGATAGAAACAATGGATGTCCTTCCTTTTCCCTTTTTGCATTTTTTTGAGGTTCTTTTCACGGAAGGTCTGATTTGTGCTGCAGACTGATATAAAGCTTCCCACCTCTGAATGACTACACAAATACTGGTAAACACAGTGTCTTGGCTGGGCATTTTCCATCACTTTAGTCTCTCCCTGACCTGCTGCTAACATTAGTTTCCTTTGGCTCGTTAACATGGTGTCAGGCTGCGCCACTGAAGCTATGAAGCACAGCCTGGCCAAAAGGACATCAGCGTGAGCCTTTAGCAGTTTGCATGAAAAAGGCTTTTAGTGCACAAAATTCCAGTAGAGGGTTAGCTCTAAGTATCATTGCCGCTGCAGTGGTCACATGGCCTGGTGTACTGTGGCCTGACCTCAGCTGCATAGAGCTCCTCCCTCTGCCATCAGGCGTTCTTTCAGGCTTTCTTTCTGCTCCTCCAGGCACACTCAGGGTTAGATGTGTGATGTGGTGCCTGAAATTAGGATATAAAAGAGAATTTAAAGAAAAGAAAAGGGTTAACAAGTTTAGGAGCACATGCAAAGGACCAAGGAAATGTTCTTGGTTATAACTAAGAAGGCTATAATTATTATAATCCCTTTCTTTGTTCAAATTGCAGGCTTTGGATTGCCCAGCAAATTGCATTTTAAATGCAGTGGGGCACTGTGGCAAAGTGTGTGACAGTGACACGCTCTGTCTTTCTCTGCTGCAGTCGCCCTCTTATCTTACTTCTCCTCTCTGCCATTCAATCTTTCCATCCCTACCCCCTCCCCTTCTATCGATCCACACTAGTACATATTTGCTCTCCTCTCCATCTCTCATGGTCCCAAGGGCCATGGGGGGAGCAAAGAAGCTGTCTCTGAAGTGTGGAGTGCTATAGCAGCAAAGATCCATGTAGCCGAAACAAACTCACCAGGTTCTGAAGGGAAGACGTTTCTCAGCTGCTCAATGACCTCCTGGAGCTGCAGCACCGTGTCCTGCTCATGCTCCAAATCATCTCCTGCCACACACACACACACACACACACACACACACACACACACACACACACACACACACACACACACACACACACGGATTCAAGCCGCCACAGAAAATGTTACTTCTCAGTGAAAAGATAAGGTTTTACATTTAGCATGCATGCATATGTCAAGCCCTCATCTTAGCCTGGCTGCATGCCACTGACCTGCTGCTTCAGTGTCTGTAGTCTCTCTGCTAGCTGGCTCCCCATGGTGTCCTCCTCCAGACACAGGAGAAGACAGGGTTGATGGTTCTGATCCATTGGCCTCTGAATCATCTTTGGGCTGCTTTTGGGAGAGACTTATTACCATTCTTTCTAAATAACCCCTCATATCTATCATATTTCAGACATCAGAGTCATTTTGCCTTTCAGATAGCAATGAATGTGATGTTTAATGGCAGCCGGCAGTCCTCAAATGAGAACTCAGAGAAAAAATATTTAAAAAGGCAATTTTGCCCAACAGCTGTTCTTCAGGTTACTGTGATTTGTGCTTTGATAGGTAGGTAAAAGCCAAAGGGAGTTGCACTGCACAGACAAGCATTGCAGAAAACAGACTGACACCACAATGGATGCCTCAATTCAGAATCAAAGGGGGATAGTGTAACTCTCGAAGATCTTATATGCAACATTCCCATGGTTCGTATTGTTTTTAGCAACACTGTGGCAATACTCCAGAGGTGAGTAAGTTCAGTAGCTGCTGCAAAACAGGAGTCTCTGTAGAGACTGGGAGGGATTCATACATATACTTCTAGAGACTACAGACTGCAGATTCTACAGATTTTATTTTCTGAGGAAATGAAACTGTGATATAGGTCCACAGAGAAAAGAATTCAAATAGCTTTTTTCCCTCCCTTTATGTTTTTAACCCAGGAATATGTGCCTCTTGCTCTCTTTAACCTGAAGATGCAGATCCCGTTCTTGTT